AATTCTTATTATATATGTATAGATATCTACTACATAGGGACTATTAGTAGCACACATATTTAAATAAGCTTGACAAAAAATTTTTCATAATAATAATAAATAATAATCATTTATACAGTTTGGTTGGTTCGATTATTTCAATTATTTTAAAAAATAAAGCTGGCATCGAACTGAAATAAGTGATATTTGAAAAGTAAAAATAGATAATCGAGCTAAAATAAAAAATTTCAAAACAAAAACTGTAAGTAGATCGGTTTATGTCTATATTGTGCAGCGTTAATATGCAATTTACCTAACACCATTGTGCATTTGCATCACATATATTTTTTTATTTTTTATTTTTTTGATTTGTTCCAAATCAAACTAAAATTGAATTGGAACAATCACCTAACTTGATCAATTACCCACATGCCCCTAAATAATAGAAACGAATTATTATTTTTATTATAAAAAAATTATTTAATATTTTTAATTTTTATATTTTATATTTTATATTTTTTTGGTTGAAATATATAATATATAAAATATCAAAATTAATAATGTGCATTCCCTCATACAATAATGTGTATTTCGTTTAAAATTATTATGCATTTTATTAATCATGGTATAATCCTGATATAGGATATTATATACTAGGCCAGTCCTAATGGATAAGAGAGGAATATATTGAAGAATATGCCTACACATGGCTAGGACACGTGGCACGACGCTATTGGACAAGCCCAATTTGGGCCATAAAATACACTCCCCCTATAAAAGGGGGCTAAGGTATTCCATTCTCGCACTCTCTCTACATTCATTACTACACTTGAGATTTGGAGTGATTCTGACTTGAGCGTCGGAGGCCCGACGCCGAGACCCCTCCCGGCGTTGGGTTCTTGCAGGTCCGGTGGCCGTTCGAGTTGAAGGAGCCTGAGTGAAATCTTACTCACTTCAAATCCAATTTTAATTAAACACACTTAGACTGTTTAATTAAACATGATTCTCATTCAAACGGGTTAAGTGTAAATACATCTAAAACCAAGTTTTCAGTATATACACCAACAGATGGCGAGCCTGGTGGAGGTTGATGGCGGGGCTGCAGGTGGTTGTTGCGGGTGTGACAGAACCAGACGATGGTGTTGACGGCGGTGGTCGGAAGACGAAGGCCGGATGTGGAGGTGGTGCATCGGGTGTGAATTTTGCTCCTGTGAGATGTGTGAGATGTGTGTTAGTGTGTGAGAGAGGTGGGCTGGGCGGGGCCCACTGGGTGAGATGGTAAAAAGTGTAATGACTAATATACCCGTAATGATTGGTCACATACCTATATTTGACCACAATATGACCATTTAATTACGAAATTGCCACAACCTATTTGATTGATATTATTAAATTTTGACTTGATCATGGTCATTCACTTGATGGATCCAATGGCACAAATTTATTCTTATTTGTTTCATTGTGCTTCATTCTCATTTGAGCGCACTTCTATATATATATATATGAAAATATCTTTGTCAATCTCATTTAAATATTTTGTATCAGGGTTTTAAATGAGTTTCTCATACCAATAATGCAACATGTTCCGAATATACCATATGGCATTTTTATTAAATGAAAATTCTTATTTTTTCATAAATGTTTTTAAAAGATTAAAAGAGAAAATGTAAATGTCACTATTGCGTTTGGCATAAGGCATTTTTAAGACTTTTTAGAAAGAAAAAGAAAATCTTAAAAATATTAACGAGAAATGAAAAATTCAGATAAAGATGCTACATATAATAGTAGTGATGTATACAAAATTGATTTTATAAATGCAACTTTACAATTAATGAATTATTTTATTATGTTGTGTGTTACAATAATATATTAGTTTAATTATGTAATTTACTGAAGGTTTCGATCATAACCAGTACTGATAATTTCAAAAATAATCAATAAAAAAGAAGATATAGGTGTTTTTATAGAGAGACGATCGGTCGACATATATATAAATATAATGGTGGGTACAACTAAATTTTCATAATAAGCAATACCTTATTTTTAATTTTTATTTATATTATTGAATAATATAAACTTTATGTAAACAATAGAATTGATTTGGTCCGTGCACGCGGGAAAGGAAAGGAAAAGAGTTGGAGTTAGTGTAAAAAGAGTAGATTTGGAAGCAGATACTCTTCTATCCACTTTTCGTCTATAGGTTTAAAACACTTGTACTGCACTTTAAGCCGAGAAGAATAAAAAGCATCCACCTTCCAAAATTTTAATAATAAATATCTGAAGTGATAAAAGTTTCAAATATGGAACTTTGCATAAGAATATAAGTATCTATATATTACTAAAGACAAGATTCACTATTAATAAACTACGAAAAGTTTCTTGTCTTTTTAATTTATCTTTATTGCAATTTTTTCCTAATAAAAATTTAAGCTAAATAATATAATGTGATAAATATGGACTATTTTTGTATAACAAGTATATTTTATATATTTAAATCTTCCCTGTTTAATTATTTGCTAGGTCAAAATGTTGATATAATCTACTAATATTAGTCTTTTAGTAATTTTTTTGTCAAATATAAGTGTATCATTAATACAAAAGTTACTTATCAAAATATATATATTTTTCCTCTCGCTTAAATCTTCAGTAGTCGTTCAAAATATAATTTTCAGAATCTACTTACAATGTTAGTGATTTTAATATTTTTTTCGTTAACAATAAAATAACTTTAATTATTGTTATTAGATCACTTCAAATCTTCCTTATTTACTCATTTGATATGACAAAATGTAGAAGCTTTCATATAAACTATAATTTGTGTATTTATTAATTTATTTTATCAAATAAAATTTTATCATAAACTAATTATAATTTATAACTTAATATAAAATAATTATTATGTTTCATAGAAAGTTAAAGTTTGAAAATAGTGTAAAAGGTTTTAGGTTCTTACTGATTTGATCTATATTTAAATATTCAAAAAGATGTTTTTATAAAATTTAAAAAATATTTAGATTTTTATATATCGTTAATGAGAAGAAACCACATAAATTTGCATCAATATTCATTTATTATTAAAGAAAAAAGTCTATTAATCAACCGAATAACCTTTTTTTTTTTTGTCTTTCAAANCATTGTAGAATACGATCATTTGGACAATGAAAAAATTTAAAAAAAATTACAAAAAGACAAATTCAATAACAATAAGCTTAAAACTCATGTGCACCACGCATAGTTTATTACTTGAATGACAAAGAGATCCAATTTTTATGCAATAAAAGATAGAACAATGTGAAGTTGATAATGAGTTGTGACCAAAATATTAAAAGCCTCAAATTTCCGAAAGAGAAACACGTGACATACTTTCGTAGATGTATTGTAAATCTCGTCATACCTGAGCCAAAAACACCAAACCAATTCTAACAAACTAATTAAATAAAAATAATAATCACGCACAAATCGGACCACCTAAAATAAAAATAATAAGTAATACAAATATAAATTAAAAAAATCGACCTGATTTACTTGGAGGTCCTGGTGTTTGAACGACTGAAATAGAAGCACAAGGAGTCGACGTTGTAGTTGAAGAAGTACATATCGCATTTGCTCCACGCGGCGACAAAATGGGTCTAGCAGACACTTATGAAGTTCGTGTCCAACAGTTTTTCTAACCATGGCGACATGTTATTGTTCTTATACCTTTTCCAATGGAAAAAACATCTTCCTCCCCATTTAAGTAACTTAAAATTCAGATACATAAATATGTAAAACAGGCGACACAATAATAATAATAATAATAATAATAATAATATCGTGTTGACACGATAGTATAATTAATAACCTAATCTACATGCAAGGTTAAAACCTGATTGAACTCTCGACAACCAAATCTTCGTGGTACTCGGCTAAACGTGCTTGGAAAATGATTTCCACTCAGTTGTCCAGATCTCCTTCACACGAAAACACTCACGGCTGCTCGTAATCAGTGATGTGCAAACACGGACAGAAACTCCTAGTACGGCACTCGCGGCGATAGCGTGGATTTTCGTGAGCCTCGGCGGAGTCACGCGGCTCGGCTGATTGCTCAAATAATGCCGAGAGAATTTGAGAGTTTGAAGAGAGTGCTTTGGCCGTGGAAGATGCGAGAGAGATAAGAAAATTTCTGAAATTGGCTAAATGAAATTGATCATTGGAAGCTCCCTTTTCGGTTTTTAATCAATAGGAAAATCAAATGCCCATAATGAAATGGATCCAATGTTTTAAATAAAAACGGAGTTACAAAATTTTTAAAATTGATAAGGCTTGACCCAAGAGGTCTCTTTGGCCGGTTTTCCCATAAATTGGGTGGATATTTACTCAATTTAATTGCCACCAATTAAACTTAAGGCTTTGCTAAAAAAATTGACACCTCGGCTCTTTAAGAAAATAAAACCGAAAATGTGAGATCAATTTACTAATGAAAAATTCGGTTACAAGATTATTTGCACAAGGACTTTTGAAAGGAAAAACCACTCGGCTCCTTTAAAAATATTTTGACCGAAATAGCAATGTCAAAAGCTAAGGGAAAGTTTTTCGGTTACAAGATTTATTTAACCAAGGATTGGTTTGCCAAAACAAATTTGGCCTTGCTCAAATAAAAACAGAATTCACTAGGCGATAGAACTTGGACTTATCTAACTGCACGAATAATATTCGCGAATAACTAAACACTCGGACTTGTATTACACCCTTATCTTTTGTTGTTCTGCAATGATTGTCGTTGTTTCTTTGAAGCATTTTTTAGATATACCTAGGTGAGTCATAGGTATTCCGGGTTCGAGTCTTGAATGTTTTTTTTTAGATATATCTTGAATGCTCTTTTTTTAGTTCGGTGCATGTTATGATATTATTCGAGTATTGAGGGTATGAAGAATTTCTTAGAATTAAGTTCTCATGTTTTAAAGTCATAGATCATCTAGAAGATTATTGCATTCGTTATGACATAATAAACTTCACTCTCCAATGTTAGTCTTTTTATTTGTTCAGGACGCGGCTACAAGAAATAGAAACATGACACTGACCTACAAAAAAATCATTCGACTTGCTGAAACCAACCGATAATCCTAAGTGGACTATGGCACCAAATGCTTCTGAGTATGCCGCACACTATATGTGTGACGCTGATCTACCTCCTGCCAAACCTATGACGATTGATTTCAGCAAAGCACACATGAGAAGTTATTTAGCCGTCATACCAGATGACCTCAAAGCACACTTAACTTTAGTGTATCCGAACCTCAATATGAGATACCAGGCCAACCTGACGGATGACGATAAGTTGGGCTATGATGTGGAATATTGGGCGTACTCTTATTACAAGCATGGTGTGACCATGGGCATTGGGTTTTTTGAATACCTGCAAATGATTTCGAAGGCAATGCACAACATCTCGGGTAAGAATTTGATTTTATTACTGCAATTAGATTATTTTTTGCATAAACATGTTGTGTTGCTGTATTCGCTAGTTTTTTTATTTTATTTTTTGGTCTTTTCCTGCAGCCTTTGAAATGCCGTACAAGTCTGGTGATTTTCTAAACATGGTAAGATTGGCGGCCTAAGTGCCTGAGAATGATAATCTTGTTTGTAATATCAAACTATGGAAGCTCCCAGACAGGTCTGCTATATTGGTGGAAGTTTCAATTGATGAGGATGCAAATGTTCTGATGCATAGAGGGGTCACATTCAACGGCGACAAAGACAGGACGTCTTTTCTGGTTCCTAATGCGTAATAGGGGAGAGTATTACAAATTATCTTTTTTTTTTTTCATGTTTAGATCATGGTAATTCCCACTAACTAACTTAGGTAATCAGTCTTTTTGTGGTCATCGCTTACTTTTCCTACATTAATGGCTATTAATGTCTCGCTGGAGTGTATATCTTTGTTCTCAGTTCTGATGTTTGAAATTGGATAAGAAGCGAGTTTGGTATTAAAAATCTACCTTTAATATGTTTTGTGTTGTACGTGTTTCGCACCAGGAGGCAATATTAGTTGTCTAGGTGCCGGTTTGGCCCGAATCAACCCGTTACACACAAGGACTTTCTGATTAGGTTGAATGTCATCTGCATTCCTAAAAGCAACAGGCTGATTCGGGCCAAACCGGCACCTAGACAACTAATATTGTNAAAAAAAAAAAAAAAAAGATATTTCCTAATAGTCTCCCCTATTACGCATTAGGAACCAGAAAAGACGTCCCGTCTTTGTCGCCGCTAAATGTGACCCCTCTATGCATCATCAGAACATTTGCATCCTCATCAATTGAAACTTTAACTTCCACCAATATAGCAGACCCGTGTCTGGGATCTTCCCTAGTTTGATATTACAAACAAGATTATTATTCTCAGGCACTTGGGTAGCCAATCTTGCCATGTTTAAAAAATCATTAGGCTTGTACGGCATTTCAAAGGCTGCAGAAAAAGACCCAAAAAAAAAAAAACTAGCGAATACAGCAACACAACACGTTTATGCAAAAAATAATCTAATTGCAGTAATAAATTCAAATTCTTATCCGAGATGTTGTGCATTGCCTTCGAAATCATTTGTAGGTATTCAAGAAGCCCAAGGCCCATGGTCACATCACGCTTGTAATAAGAATACGCTCAATATTCCACATCAACTTATCGTCATCTGTCAGGTTGGCCTAGTATCTCATATTGTGGTTCGGATACACTAAAGTTAAGTGTGCTTTGAGGTCATCTGGTATGACGGCTAAATAACTTCTCATGTGTGCTTCGCTGAAATCAAAGGTAGATCAGCGTCACACATATAGTGTGCGGCATACTCAGAAGCATTTGGTGTCATAGTCAACTCACGATTGTTGGTTCGTTTCAGCAAGTCGAATGATTTTTTGTAGGTCAGTGATGGATTTCTATTTCTTGTAGCCGCGTCAAAAAGACTAACATTGGAGAGTGAAGTTTATTATGTCATAACGATGCAATAATCTTCTAGATGATCTACTTTAAAACAAAACATGAGAACCTAATTCTAAGAAATTCTTCATACCCTCAATACTCCAATAATATCATAACATGCACCGAACTCAAAAAAAAGCATTCAAGATATATTTCAAAAAAAAGCATTCAAGACTCGAACCCGGAATACCTATGACTCACCTAGGTATATCTCAAAAATGCTTCAAAGAAACAACGACAATCATTGCACAACAACAAAAGATAAGGGTGTAATGCAAGTCATCAACCCCTTTTTTTTCGAAACGGTAGAATTCGTTACTTGAATAAAGAAATAAAAACACATCCTAAAACAAAAGAAACTAAACCTGGTCAACCAAATAGCCACATAAAACTCCCCCACACTTAAAATCAGACAATGTCCCCATTGTCGATCCGCAGTGTAAGGAAGGTGTACTACCGAATCAACCGACACGACACAACAAAGAGAAAATACAAAAAAAGAAACAGAAGAAAGAGAAAAGAAATAGAAAAGCTAACCAACACAGTGACAAGTCACTGTGGTCCATGAGGAGGAGGAGGAGGAGGAGGAGGATAGGTATGGCCGGTGCCGGAGCTCCACTGTGCAAACTACGCGTCCCACTGGGTCTGCCATGCCTCTATAGCCTGAAAGCGGAGGTCGGCGCTGTCGAACCGGGCACTAATGTCGCGCATGTCCCGATCGTAGCGGTCCTCGAACGCCGTCCACCACAGAGGAGGCTGGGACCACCAAGCAGGCGGTGCAGACGTACCCGTTGGTCGCTGCTGCGAATGGGTGGTCCGTGGCTCCCGGGAAATCTGCCTTCGGGGTCGGTTGCTAATCATCAGGAGGCGGAAGGCGATGGTCCTCGTCGATAAGAGCCTGATCGTGCTCCATCGCCTTCGTCTCGTGGTATCCTCGATCTCTTGCTGAGGACGAGACGAGCCTGCCTGAGCTGTGAAATCGGCCGCACCCACCTTCTTCATATAGGCGGCGTAGGCCGGGCGCTCAGTATAGGCCTCAAAGGTGCGGCGATCACGGATTAGGCCCGAATGACTTAGCTCGTAGAAGTCAATGAACCGCATACGAGTAGGAAGGCTGCCAGACGCCTCCGGGTCAACGTGGAAGTGCAAAGCCAGAGCGGTCACTATATAACCAAAGCAGGCGGCCGCTCTCTTGTTCCGAATGATGGCTCGGTACTGCTCCTTAAAAATATCCAACATATCTCGGTTCTTCCTCTCGAGCATAGCCCACAGCAGGGCGAGGTCAATCTGAGTGACCTTGTTGGCCTCCTTCCCGAACACACCATAGCACAAAAATTTGTGCATCACCGCGACAGCACCGTCCTTGATGAGGCTATTAGCTAAGCCCTGTGAGTCCCACACCGTATCGGGAGAAAGCTGAGGCCAGAAAATATCAGGAGTCGTTCTTTCATTCATCCTTGCACCGCCACGGTGGAGTCCCACGACTTTTTCCATGATGTCGGCAGTGATGATCCTCTCTGTCCAAATAGACCGCACGTCATGTAGTTCTCGGTCGACGGAATCTCGAGTGTACTGAAGAACCCGAGTGTGAGATTTCGGTATGTCGGGTGGACCAAGCGGGCGTAAGACTTCAAGCGGAGTGCGTCAAAGGTAAGACTCGGTGGTCTCTAAAATCCCTAGATCGGAGAGCAAGGCGAAGTCGAACGTCATTGATTTCAAGACATCTTTCTTCGCCAGCCGGGCATAAACCTCCCCCTCTCGTTCCGAGAGAATAGCAAAAGGGGCATTGTAGTCGGCCCGTAAATCGACCGGCTCGTCCCGAGGGGAAGAGGCCTCCCCCACAGTCTTCTTACGCTTGTTACCGGCCCCTTTCTTCACCATCTTTAAGACGAACTTCACTTAGGCAATTAATCAAACACCTTGTGTGCAACAACTTCACGTAGAAAGACAAGAAGAGCTCCAATGAAAGGAACCAAAATACGTGTGCCTCGCCAATTCAATTGCTTAACAGCCAACCCAACAAATCAATGCTTCGCAAATAGCAAAGTACGATAACCTAAAGGATGCTCGGAAAGTGCGGAGTAGGAGCTTGAAAACGTTGAAGTGGCGGATGGTAAAAAGTTGTTGGTGGCTGTCGTCGGTCAGAGGAGGTGGACGCCGGCGAGCTGGTCGACGGAGGGAGGTTGGTGCTGGCCGGAGGTGAGCAGTCGACGGCGGTGGCGGGCCAAAATCGCGTGGAGGCTGGATGTGTGTCGGCAGGCAGTGGGTAGTCGAAAATCCGAGGAGCCAGTGGAAGATGAAGTTGAAGAAGACGAGTTGGTCGCTGGAGATGTGGTGCCGAGAGACGGTGATCGGAGGTTGAAACGGCGGGCTGGAGAAAAGGGGCTAGGGTTCGCGTCGTGCAAGGAGGAAGAGAGGGGGGCGAGCTCGCTGTGAATGGAGGGGTTGCCGGAATTGAGGAACATGGGTTCGTGGTTCGCGGGCTTGTGTATACGGGATTTAGAGAGAGGGAAGGAGTGAATGCCTGGTGGTCGGAGAACACGCCGGCGAAGCTCGCGGTCGGTGAATAGGAAATTTGGGGGTTAGGGTTCACTGGTCGCGATTGAGAAAGATGGTGAACTTGAGGTCGGAATTTTAGCGCTAGGGTTCGTTGCCGGAGGTGGTGGTCGTTGGTGGTCGGAGCGTCGGCGATCGGAGGTTGAACGGAGATGCGTGAGCGATTTGGGCGAGAGGAGGTCTTATCGCGAGAGAGATTGAGAATCCTGCAAAAATAAAAGAAGCCTGTCAGTTAATTAAAGTAGCAGGTCAGTCGCGATTTTTAAGTCGCGGGTCGCGACACGATGTCGCGACATAGATAGGTAGCTCGCGACTCGCGACATTTCTCGAGTGTCGCGAAAAAAATAGAGTGCGATAGCAATTTTTCCTGGGACAACTCGCGACTCGCGGCACAGTCGTGAATCGCCACTTCCATCTCGCGAGTCGTGAAAAAAAACTGACACCGATAGACATTTTCCGTGGGGTAACTCGCGACATAGGCTCGCGAGTCACGAAAAAANTTTAAGAACTTAATTAACCTGCAAAACCATAATAGAAAATTTACCTATCGAAATAACCAACAGAAAAAATAGAACCAAATGCAAAGAGAAAAAATAACAGATACAATCATACAGTGTACAGTGACAAGACCAGTCACTGTGAATTCGGTGGTGCAGGCGGAGGATGGAGATAGTCAGGCCCCGAACAGCGGCGGGCGCCTTACAACCTCTTGGGCTTACACTACACTAGAAGAGCCTAAAGAAGAAGAAAACATGAAAATACAACGAGTGAATAGAGAAGATAAAGCATAAATATCATCTGCCAACACTCTATATGAACTATTAAAAGAAGAATTACTACAAAGCTTTCTAGACAGAGTTTTATCATCCAAACACCAGTATATGTCCAAGCATTTTGCCTTCCAAGTCTTATGTAATGCCCATCTAATAGCTAACAACCTTCCTTCTTTCATAGTTCCATCGAATTCCACAGCCTCAGAACATTGTTGTACAGGAGAATTATCTTTAATCTGCTCACCACCCATTCCAAGCCGCCTTTGATGTGAGATAGAACACTGAGAGTTACAAAAAACTGCCCTACTCCCAAGTAAATATCTCCCCAACAAATCTGGTTGTTTGCACTTGCTTATGACCCTTGTGTTCAGACTTTGGTGCCCATGTTCAATAAAGTCTACCCACTCCTCTCTGGCTCCCTTAGCTATTATAACGCCCCGTTATTTTTAAAGAGATTTTCCTGATTTGTAAAGAAAAGAGAAACAATTTCTTGAAAAATAAATAAATAATTTATCATTTATCGAAAATTAAATATTCATTTGAAACACATTACAGGCATTACTTAAAACTATTCCATAATTTCCTCATTTCTCAAAATCATTTCATGTGACTCAACGGTTGAAGGTATATTTTACTACTATAAATTTCTAATTTAACTGTTATTTCCTTATAGAATATGTATGTCTACTAAATAATCTGATTTTGATCCTTTTATTTTTTTTTTCTTGTGATTATTAATTTCGTGATTTATTTGATTTTAGTTATAATGTTATACTAGTACAATACCCGTGTATTACACGGGTATTGAATTAGAAAGCTTTTGTAAGAAGTATTAATTTTTTTTTTTTTATAAACTAAAATAATTTAATTTTATATAAAACATTACTTTGGGTTTTAATTAAATTTTAAAATTATATTTTTTTAATCATAATAATTTAACACTCGTACATTAAATGAAAATGTCAACCCGTGTTGAATTTTTTTACTTATATCATATGAAAATATTGATATTATTTACTATTACATAAGTACAAAAATATATATCTTAAATAAATAGAAATAATATGGTGATATGTATATGCATAAGTGTAGAATATGTTTATTTAATATTAAACAAATAGATTAATTTTTTTACTTAATTAGATGCCTAATACATCAAGTGTCGTATCAGTCGTGCTTCACAATTTTTTAACTATACATGTAATTTGAGAATTTATATAAATAATTATTTATTTTTATTACATTGACAAGATACTAATTAGATTTGAAATAAATATCATTTTTAAAAGAATACATACCAATTTCTATTACTTTATAATATAATTTATAGTTTTATTTAATATAATTTATTTTAGTTTGATAAATAAATTTAAATTTTATTTATAAGGATATATATTACTGTTTTGTATTATATATATATATATAGTAAAATACAAACGGACTTCATAATATCAATTCAAATTCAACACACTAATTAAGATTTTTTTTTCTTGACAATATTAGACCTATTTAATGGATTTTATGGGAAACGATGGAGATGGGATATGAAGAGACACTGTGTATTAGATGGAGGGTTAAAAATGGAAAAATATGAACAAAATATCTAAAATCGTCTACCTTCTGCTGATCATTGTGTATCTGTCTATCTCGACTGACCAGGTGGGTTGTTATTCTAAAATCGTCTATGCTGTAAATGTTATTACTGTTTTAATTGTGGTATGATCAATGTATGCATGTGAACCATGTAGCCTTCGATGTGAGTTGTACCGGCCGTCGAACGGTTATCCGCGTAGCTATAGAACGTACCCGTTGGGTAATCTCCGTATTATTGTGAGCCGTAAGACCTGGGTTAAAGGTCCCTGTGTTGGACACATTTTGAGCCGTAAGACCTGGGTTAAAGGTCCCTATGCTGGACATATTTTGAGCCGTAAGACCTGGGTTAAAGGTCCCTGTGCTGGACAACCCCGTTGGTAAGACCAAGGTGAGGCCTTGGCTGGCGGGTTACTCCTACTGGCTGGAACGCGATGTAAGACCGGTGGGCTTTCGATATATTATTATATTTTTTAGTATGACACATGTTACATGTACGACTTATATGTGTTATATTATAATAAATTTTCTACCTTATAACATATAACTACATTAAACATAAGTATATTAATTGATAATAATTTTATTTTCTTATTAATTTTAAGAAATAATTTTTTTATTATTAGAAAGATAAATATAATTTATTATTTTATATATACAATATGAATGTCAAATCGAAGCTCATCAAAAGATGATTAATTTGATATATTATATATGTAAAAGCGATAAGAAATACAAAAGTTATCAACTTTTAAAATATATTTTCAATTCAATGGTTATAATAGGAAACGATATTAAAATACAATTAATATAAATATTAATTTATATCCAAGCCTAACTCCAAAGTATGATTTTTTGCCAAATATGATTCCAAAGCATGAGAATTTGTTACGTAGACTCAGCGCATTCTGAAATTATATATAGAGGGGATGTAAAATATATTCCACGATGTGCCAGCTCTTAACTAAAAGCTAATTAGATAAAAGCTTGAGCTCCAATTGCCAATTACTTGTTTTTTAAATTTGTATCGGAGTCTAGGTCATGTTTGATTTAAAACTATATACTTTTTTGAAAAACTATATTATTATTTATATTTAAAAATAACACCGTCATTTATAAGATTTATCATCTTATATCCTTATAATGTTTTAACTTATATCATATAACTATTTTGTAGTTAAATTAATTTAAGTTATTTATTTTTTCAATTTATTTAATAGGTAGTTTAGTTTTTATTATAAAGATAAGATAATTATTTATTATTTTGCATGTATAATATAGATGTCGAATCAAAGCTCTTTGATATCTATAAAAAAGTGATAATAAATAAAATTATTATTAACTGTTAAATATATTTATGATTTGAGTTAATAATTTTAAAAGAAAGATTGGGGAAAAAAATTATTCATTATAAACCGCATCTAGAATATTAAATGATATCAAAACACAATTGATGCTCTTAAAAAGATCATAAATATCTTGTATATTTATTGATATTGCAGACCTATTTAATTTTAGGTTGGAAGTAAATTAAAATCCATACAAACCCAATGACAAAGCATTAAAGTTTATCACATATGATCCCGAACCATGCAACATTGCCACTTAGACTCATTACATTCGAAAATCGTTTAATATATACACATATATATGGTTGGGATCCAGTGAGAAAGAGTCTTAGTGAAAGAAATTAGAATAAATCTCAGCCATTGGATTGAATGATCCAACAGCTTAAAAAAGTCAAAATTATACATTCATTAAGGACATTGTGGTATTTTTCACATCACATTCAAAGAGGTGGGTCCCACTCCACATTAGTACACCTACCAACTACCCTCAACCAGCTCACACTACCCTACCCCACATGTTCTCTCTCTCTCTCTCTCTCTCTCTCTCTCATACACACACACACACACTACCACACACACATTACACACACACATACACATAAAGATACGAACACCAACACACACAGACACCGCCTCCTCATCTTCGACCTCTCTCCGGTGCACCACCAACAGACGCCGACGTTCCTCCGACGCACAACCACACACACACGCACACACAAACACACACACATAGAGAGCACCATCGTCTGTCGCAGCCCCGCCAATCACCGCTCGTTGCAACCCTGCTGTCTGTCAAGTCTCCATCACGACGAGCGAGGTTTCATCGCGGAGCCATCATCGTCGCCCAGTCCTCGCACATTCAGTCTGACATCCGCCACAACCCTACTGCCTCGACATTTGTCGCCTCCTACAACTCGAACCACACCCTCGTCGATGTGAAAGGTGGTGATGCGGGCAATTCGAAAATCTGAAATTGAACTGTGAAATTGGGCCTCTTATTTGAGAATTAGATTATGTCTAAGGACCTATTTGCAATTTTAGTTATATTTCAATTTAACCCATTTAAAATCTGTAATTATTGAAAGTTAATAAAAAGTTATTTTTATATATTTTGCTATGCATATATATTAAATAACAAATAAATTATTAAATAAAAATAATATAAAATATTAAAATAATTTATACTAATAAATAAATTAAATAATAAAAATAATAAACAAAAAGATATTTTAATTATTTAGGTTAATTCGATGTACATTTATATCTATTAAAACAAGTTTCTTAATACACATAATTTATCTGGGAATGTATAAATTAGTGCACTTTATATAGCAGAATGTTACAATTTATAAAGCAACACATCACACTTTATAAAACAACACGGTGTACTTTATCACTGCACTCCACAATTAATGCCAACAACTCCCGCTAAAATACTACGCAATATAAATATAAAAAACGAATTGACATAATGATTTACTATACATCACATCATCATTCCACAAAATGCACAATCATGCTAACATACCAGAATTTCAGTATTGCACTTTATATATTAAAACATTGCACATTGTAACACAACATGTTGCACCTTAAAAAACAACACCCTGCACATACCAAAATTACAGTAACAATTACTAATCGATCGAATAATATTAGTTGGTCAAATGTAAAATTTAGTTTTTTTAAATAAACTAAATAACTGAACTTGCCGAACTAAATGAAAAATATTACCGATTTTTTTACTTATATTTTTAATAAAAAATAATACTATTTTTTTTATGTATATTTTCTATGTATTGCAAGTGCACATTAGGGGTTATACGGATTGCATATAAATGTCTACCAGATTGCACAAAGTCGAACGAGATCCAACAAACAGAAATTTGGTACGAATTTTTATATTTTGGTTCGATTATTATTATTATTTTATATATCAAGTATTTCGCTACGATGTCATATTTTTATTTAAATAACCGAAATAAAAACCAAACTGTATTGAAAATATTATTTTTTATATTTTTGTATAAAAGAATATCGACGCCAACCAATTAACAATTTTGTGTAATTACTTATTTCTTTTCTTTTTTCCTGAAAAAAAAATATCGATTACTATGGTTTTGACATTTTGGTCGGTTAGTTCGACTAAACTGACTGAAACAGTATTATTCATTCTATGTCTTTTTTTTCTGAAATTTTAATGTGCGTGTACACACAATATAATGTAAATTCTATTCAACATTCTTGTGCAATTATTAAAATTTGTTAAATTATAAATTTTACTCATTAACTAAATTGTAATATACATAAAT